TATGTGGGTCATTCAGGTTTGCAGTACATGCTGTCGATTCAATCACGTAGGAGTTTTCGATCAGAATTCACTGACATAAGCTGATGAATGTTCGTAGCACACAAACAAAACCAATGTCCTAGTAAAACAATCCTCCTACAAAATGTATGTCTGTGTGCAAGTTGCTTTAAAGAGTTAGACAGCCGTGGGCTGTAATGCAGTGAGACAGCTGATTCAGAGACTGCCATCAAGACAAGTCTTTATGCGCTGGATTGACACTCTGCCTAACCGACAAGGGCTTCTGAGGCTTTTCCCAAACCAAATTTCCCCTCAATCCACCACAGGCCGAAATCAAGCTCAATTTAAGAGGCATGATTATTATGTGCTGTTTATTTTAGGGATAGGTAGCTTCTTATTGGCAGTGGTTATGAAAAGACAATCAACTCTCCTTTGGATATAAAGCAATCTTACTTAGAGATTTTCGCAGAATTTCCTCCGGTTATTCTTCAGCACATCCAAGTGTAGCAGATTATCGAAAAAGAAAAAAATGTAGGACGTGGAGCATCGGTTGTTGATTAGATTTAGAGATGTGGGCATTGCAGTCAAAAATTGAGCAAGCTTGCAGGGGTGGGGTTTATGCGGAATAAAGTACAAAGTATACTTATGCGTATGAGTCAAAAAAGAAACTGAAGAGACAACAACAACACTAAACTACTGGACAAAGATTCATCTTTCTAGTACGAATGTTCATACTATCATTTACATTTATTCATTTAGCTGACGCTTTTATCCAAAGCGACTTACAATTGCTATATATGTCAGAGGTCGCACGCCTCTGGAGCAACTAGGGGTTAAGTGTCTTGCTCAGGGACACATTGGTGTCTCACAGTGATTTCGAACCCGGGTCTCTCACACCAAAGGCATGCGTCTTATCCACTGCGCCATCACCACCCCGCTATCACAGTTAACTTTGAAAGGATATGCTTTCAGCTCTAAGCAAATGCCTGTGTTCACATCCAAACTGAAGTATACGTTGGGCTTAAATGATTGGAGAAATCCAGCAGAAAATGGAGTTATGCAACAACAACAAAATTACAAGGTCAAAACTAATTTAATCAAATGAAATACATGCATTGCTGAATTAAAACTTGTGTCATTTTTCATTGAACAAAGACATTCAACATTGATTAGATAAACAAATTAAGATATTATCACAAGGCCTCCTACTTCGTTTTGAAGTAGGACACTTTCCGGTTCATCTTCATCCACCTTGGTCTTCCTCAACACCCCATATATGCCCACCTGAGGTAAATATTTTTTAATTGGAAACATTTTATCGCACTCCCTAGACTCTCCCCCGGGCCTACTGACCTTGACCACAGAAAGAGGCATTATTCACAAGTTTCTTCTCACAGCATTTGTAGATTAAACTTGAAACATGAGAGACAAAAAAGATATAAAAGAGGCAATATATCTCAGTTACATCTCAACAGTCAAAATCTAACCCTTACATGTGTGTGACCTGCTTGAAACCTTCAGTTCATCCCTAACATTCTCTAGAAGCGATTACTTTGTCTTCCTCCTCTAATCCCTCTGTCAAAAGCATCATATATTGAGTAACAATAAAGGTAGTGTCTTTTTCAATACATACAATAAAAATGATTAATAAAGTTAAGTTGTAACTCATGTAAAATTAACTAAATTAATTATGTATAAGCAGTGGTTTTGATTGAATACATATAGGAAAACAATATTTCTCTTACATGTCTTGCTTATCTAAATGTGATGTAATGTGTAGTTTTCCTTGCTGTGTTGACTGTGAAAAACAGGTTTTATTTTAGGTATTTTAAAAACTAAATAAATGAAACACACAAACTTGTATTGAATGTGCAGACGACTGGACAGACTGCAAGGAAAGAATGGCTAAAGGTCTTCTTGAGTCTTCACTGCAAGGAAAGAATGGCTAAAGGTCTTCTTGAGTCTTCACTTGAATTATTGATTTTGTTTATTTTGGGTGAAGGGCAGGACATTGAAAATTGCTCTGAGGTTCCTTTTTCAACAAAATGGCAACCAAGTACACAGTCTCTCATAGATTATCCAACATACAGTGGGTAGATTGACATCCAGGAGCTGAGAGCTTTCAAGAGCTGAGGCTTGACCTTGTCTAGACAAGCATGTGTGATGCTCTTGAAGAATAATTCAACCTTGAGATAAAATTGAACACCTTGGTTTTCCAAAGCATTTCTGACCATTTTGAATGTTCATAAAATATATTTTTGTCAAACAAAGATCTGCATGTAGCGTCAGTTATCAGCTCAATCTAGCTTTAGTCCGGCTGATCCATCGTCTAAATAAACTTGGACTAGGGATTAGTCACGATGGTCGACTCGTCAATTAATGAAATTCATTGGGCAACTGGGATGTGTTCCTGGGTCAATATTGTTGTTTGTTCTGAAGCAACATTCCCACCAACCAATCAGATTGTAGGGTTAGGCTTAGGGAAGGGCTTGGGACTTCCTTACAATTCATAAATACATCCATAGGGAAAAATAAATTAACCTAGAAAGGAAAACTGTAATATAATAAGATTATTTTTCTTACTCCATTAGAAATATTTATATAATTATCTTAAAAATTAATAGTAAATTAAAAAACCCACACAATTCAAGATATATTCTCTGTAAACAAATCCTAATAATGTACGTAAACCATTTTGCTTCTGAGGTAAATATGTTTTGTTTTAATAATTTTTATATATTTTTTACTTGATTTTTTTTTTAGTGTCGAAAGTTGTTCCAGGACAAACAAAAGATCATATCAAAATTCTAAGAAAATCGCTAATGGGTAAGAAAAATAGGTAACACTTTATTTTAGGGTCCAATCCTTAAAGGAACACTCCGACTTTTGGGGACTTTAGCCTATTCACCTTATCCCCCAGAGTTAGATAAGTCCATACATACCTTTTTCATTTCCGTGCGTGCTATAAGTCTGTTTTGACCATAGACAGTATAAGAAGTGGACAGAGCCATCTCATTGGAACTCAGTTGAGACAGTTGAAGCCCATTTTTAGAGATTTTTGAGCACTTCCGTTCCTGACGCGCAGACTCGAACCGACTCAAACTAAGCTTGATGACGTGAGCAACCTGTCTGACAGACGTAAATCTTCTAGTAGCTGTGCGTGAAAATTGCCAACGTTAGTCTTGCAGAGACGGGGAACTTGAGCAAAGAGTTTTTTAGCATGAGTGAGCAGGAGTAAGTATTCCGTTGCTTTTATGGACTCATTATCTATGGGCTTCTCCCTTGACGGGACGTCCCCCCGATTGCCTGCCAGCTTCTCCTCCTGTCTATACGGTAATTTCTGTACAGCGCGACAGAGAGTCGAGTGGTTATGACGCAATCGTTAGCCTATTTTTACAAAAACTGTTTCTACGGGGCCATAATGTAACATAGAAGGTAATGGAGCCCTTTATACATTGTCGTGTTTCTTTAGAAATAAATAATGGACAAATGGAGTCTTTAAACGCCTAAGATGTAAAATTATTCGCTGTCAAAGTGACGCCAAAATGAATGGGAGTCAATGGAAATGCTAACGCAAGTGAAGTTCTGCTACAAGATGGCGGCACCCGGCCGGCTTCAACTTCCGGTCGATGGATTACCCCCTTGGTTTTGACGCATCCACCGCTAGCCTAGCTTAGCACAAAGACTAGATGTAAATGGTTGCAGCTAGCATACTAATCCAAATAAGGTGCTGATGACCGCAGCACCTGAGACGCGCTCTCTGCTCCTCACCACGGCGCGTCTCAGGTGCAGCTGCGGTTTTCACTCCGCCCAAGTAGCAGTGCTTCGCCTTCAGAGAATATAGTTCCCAGTATTTATACGATTAAAATATGTCTGTGTCTCATGTGACTTTGTTTTTTGTACACTCTGTGACTATACAAATCACAACATGTAAATAGGAAAATGTTTGCGTTATTTTGTCACTTATTTGCATTAGTATGCTAGCTGAAACCATTTACATCCAGTCTTTGTGCTAAGCTAGGCTAGCGGTGGGTGCGTCAAACAGACTTATAGCACGCATGGAGATGAAAAAGGTATGTATGGACTTATCTAACTCTGGGGGACAAGGTGAATAGGCTAAATTTTCCCAAAAGTCGGAGTGTTCCTTTAAGTTGCTTATTAGCATGCATATTACTAGGATATTGTTTATTAGTACTTATAAAGAGCATATTAATGCCTTATTCTGCATGACCATATTCTACTTCCCTTAATTCTACCCAATACCTACTAACTATTAATAAGCAGTAATTAGGAGTTTATTGAGGGGAAAAGTCCTAGTTAATAGTTAGTTAATAATAGTAAGAATTGGAACCTAATCTAAAGTAATCTAATCTAAACATATATTCTCTGAAAACAAGTCTTACTAGTTTTGTTAATGTTTTAATCTGTTTAATGGGCTAATTTTCTTAGTGAAAATGATGATTCCTCATACACAATTGTAGTGACCTATTTTGCCTTCTGCATATCATGCATGTAACCGTGGCCCTTTAAGGCCACCAGTAAGAGAAACTGATAGGTAGAGACATGAGAATCCTCTCAGTCCACTGCGTTCTCTGTAATGGTGCCCTTCCAGGAGAGGAACATCAGACATGATCAGTCGTTAATTTGTTTTCTGATCAACCAAGCTACAATGCATTTGATAACCGCAGAGAGCCACAACAACAAATAAATCGAATAATAAACAGACAGATAAGTATCAGCTGATCTATTCAGTTGGTATATCAATTTATCTATTAATCTGAGCCATATGGAGGCTCATGCAGTTACTTCCTGTAAGAGTATTAGCCAAACACAAGCCTTCAGAATAAGCTTGGTTACTAATCTGTAAGATGACTGGTTCAATAGGGCTGGTTCAATAAATGTATTTATTTAGATAAACACAAATTTCACGGCACGAAGCAAAACATCCATTACCCTATTCCCGTGAGGCTAATTCTTCATCTTTAAATAGAAAAAAAACTCACCTCCCCTCTTCCGTCTCATCCATGTCACTGCTGAAACTCATTTTAGACAGATAGCAGAAGACCAAAGCCAGGTAAAGTATTAAAAAAAAAATCGAACCACCGATGGTTTCGCAGTCAAAACTGACGTTTGATGGAAAGCTTGAGGCAAAAAGCTGTTGAATATTCAGTACTGGGATCCAAGAGAAGGAGGAAACCACACCTCCCCTTCAGAGATTAACTTGGAGGAGGCGACAATAACACATGTGCTCAGTCTCATCACCATATGTGTCCTCGCCTACAGAAACACACGCGGACGCAGGGAGACATGCGAATTTGCCTGGATGTGCTGAGCTGCAGCCTCTGAGGAACAAATCAACTTTTTGTCTTTCCACAACATAGACTGCGAGGGGAGGATGGAGAGCGAAAGATAGAGAGACAGGGAGGGGAGGGGAGAGAGAAACAGAGGAGGAGCGCGGGCGGAGGTGATTAGACTGGAGATGGTGATGACACACTTTCAGTCGCCCATCTGCAGTGCCAGTTGTCTGTGTCGTTGTGTTTGTACTCTTGCTGTGTTCCTAAGCTGTACTCAGCTCTTTCCTTGGCATCATTTCTACTCATAGAATAGCTAATAAAAAAAAGACAGTTTTGTTATTCTGATAGATTAGTTATTGAGGACAGAGCACAGTACGTGCACATAGCATGCTTCCTATAAGCCTATTAATGCTTTAGTTATGAAGAATGACCTCAGTGCACTGGATACTGCTCAAGATACTACTTGCGTAACAAAAATGCCTTTCAAAATTGAAAGACATACTGCCTTTTTAGTTGTATTATTTATATAGCTTTTTATTGTTTTGTTACATTTTTCTACGAAAGACGTTTCCTTAACATTTATAATAAATTTTGAAATATTTTTTAAATAATAGTTTTATTATTTGTTATTTTTGAGGAACCACTTTGAACAAAAATATGTACTTGAAGATTTTAAGTTAATAATAATAATGATCTAAAAACACATTCATCTTCTCTGATGTCAGTTAAAGCATGGCTAAAAAATATTTAACCCTTTTTTAGTAAGTTTTTTTTTTAAATACATTGACAAGCTTTTTTTAACTCACAAACTCCCTGCAGTTCCCTCACAAACCCCCAATTTTTTTAAAACCCTGATCTATACGGATATATATATATTCCATATTTATCTATTTATTATTTGTTCTGTATACATGTGTGCATGAAAGGCACCACAATATCGCAATTACCACTGGATTTTCTGTGCCTCCAGCTGAAGAATCGTGAAGTAAATTGTAGACCATGCTTAAAGGTGCAGTGCGTAATTTCCGCAATGTAAGTGGAACAAACCGAAATTATTTTCAAACAGGTTTTCCAAAAACTGACACATTGTTTGGGTATACAGTAAGTCCCAAAAATGCAAATAAGGTCTGCACTCAAAAAATATTTTATTATAGACAGGAGATAAAGTTGACAAACGTTTCGGCTCTTTGCCTTCATTAGTGAGACAGTTTAACTTATTCTCAATATAGAAAGCACGCTGCAGGTCTTCAGGTGATCGTGATCATGATTAAACAATCAAATAATTAGTCCTCCTCAGACTCCAGTTTAAGTCCATCTGAAACAGTGGATAATGATTACAAACTATGTTGAAACTATACAATAAGTCCCGCCTCAAACTCACACCATTGGTTGAGCCAATGTTGCCATGATGCTCAAGCAACATTTTGAAAGCACAATACTGTTTACTTTCCAACCTTACTTATTATTGTCTCTGCACATTTAACTGGGATAGGAGAAAGTATTTTGAATTTGTTTGCCCTTCATTTTGTTGTACATGTGATAAAAATTATGAAATCGCTCAATATATCCAAAGTCACTTGAATGCACATAATTAGGACTTAGAAACTTATCTGTGAAAATTTCACAGGACTTGAAGGCAGCATAACTGTTCCTTCAACTTCAGCTGTCTTGTGATGACTGTATAAAATCATCACTTATCTTTCAAATCATGTCGCTGCACCGGGAGTCTCTTGGCCGGTCCGACTGGTGGAGCTTCCCTCTAGTGCTGAATTGATCACGCTCTGTTGATTGAACTTGTCCTACATTCTCATGACCCAAATGAGGGTCCACCAGCAGGACTGGATCAATGTATTCACATGGACATTTAACCAGACTAATCATGTCTAGCATTTTGTAGTTGTTTTACCCAGAGGCGATAAACAGAGGGGTCTTGAGCTCGAAAGAAAAATCACATACAAAGTCTTGGAAAAGCATTTTAGTGCTAAAACAATTCTTAATTAATTACAAATTTTGTCACACACTTTAATTCACAGCACTTCATTCTACAAATGGAACCTCTTTGAGTTAGGAAACTCTCCAATTTAGATGGACTGACACATAAATACATATTTCTATGCTATTTGTTAGTAGAGATGTGTGTATATCCAATCATCCTCTCTGATATGAAATTATAAATGCTATATAGGACCTCATATGAATATAAACAGGCCTCCCGGCAAACATGCTTTCCGTTGCCAGTCTGTTAAATAAGAGTCAATCAATGTGTCCTCCTCTCTCTAGAGGGTCAGTGAAAGCGGGGTCAGATTTATGTAGTTTGACTGTATGAGCCGCATACTAGAGAATGACAGAGTCACAATGATTCAGTGGCACATTGCCCTCTACCTGCACTGAGCAGCAACATGACAAAGGCCTGTGTATCTTTACTGAGCCGTCAGAGGATACATGATGTAAACGAATCTGTCAGTACAGCTGCATATATACCACGGCACAAGAGATCCACATTAAACAATCACTCAGTTAGAGTAAATTAATTCATTGTAATTTGTCATTTTATTTGAGAATGTCGATATCAATGAATTGCAATTTTTTTTCTTACAATACTGCAATATTACAATCTATTTTTAAAATCAAAACTGACCCTGTTTAATTGAACAACACACATTCCTGGTCATATTGTACAAAAATTATCACCTCACACTATTCCAAAGAGGAAAAAAAATAATGTAATACTTTGGATGAATGAAAAATACTATACTAATTTCTAATAATAAAATGTGACAAACTATAAACTTAGCCAAGATTACATTGAACATTAAAGGGTTATTTCACCCAAAAACTTAAATACTGTCATAAATTACTCACAGTCATGTCATTCCAAAAGCTATAAGACTTTCAATCATCTTCGAAATACAAATTAAGATTTGTTTAAGACTTCTTAAGACTTCTGTCCCTCCATTGAAAGTCTATTCAGCCAAACATTTAATGTTTTAAAAAGTATATAAAAAATTCTTAAAGTAATCCACATGAATCGAGCAGTTTAAACCATATCTTCTGAAGAGACATGATCGCTTTATAGGTTCTCTCATGTCAAGTAAATATGTTTGACCTTCCATTTACCATATTTGATGTGCACTACGTATGTGCTGATCAACGTTTATGTGAACAGAGCTTGACATTGACACCTACCAACCTGCCATCTCTCCGTATATCGATACTGAAATATCTGAAATGTTTCCAATACTCATTTTCCACAGAATAGATACATGATACCAGCTGCGCTTGCTCACTTTCTCATCTCACCGACAGCAAGTTGACACACAAACCCGCCTCCTCTCACTCACTCATTTAATTTACTCCAGATGAATATTGTTGGTGTTACAAGGCTTGCATTTTGCCGTGGGATTGCGCGTATTGCGCATAATTTTACTCATTCCCGCACATTTTGTGCTCACACCCAAAGTGCGTGCACATAAAGCCGCCTCTTAGTACTAAATTGAGCTCTTTTTCGCTGATTATTGCGTTTAAACAGTCAAATACACACAAAATAATGTCATTGGCATTGTAACATAAACACAGTCAGTAATGTTTTAAGTAAACATAAACAGTTGAGACAGAAAATGCATGTGTAACAGTATAATGGATCCGTGCGTCAGGTCTTAAAGTGACAGCAGCATAATTTCCCTGCTGCCAAATTATGAGATAATATAAAAAATATCGATATGGTATGTTTTCACCATGGTATCTATCGATGTCAAAATTGTGGCCAGTGAAAATGCTGAGTGGCAGGTAACTTTGGAAAACCACAAGCCACAGTGGCTGGTAAGCAAAAAAAAGTTAACATCAAGCCCTGTATGTGAATAAAAGCCTAAATTAAATCGGTTAAGTGATCTTGTCTCTTTAGAAACCTTGGATTTGGAAAGAAAGAAGGGTAAGTAAATGATAGAATTTACATTTTTAAGTAAATGAGTGCATGTAACAGAGCAGTTTACTTCCAAAAGTCCCAACAGAGGGCGGGGCTATGACTTCCCTCAGCTGCCCTGCATTCAGTCCCATCACCATGGAGGGGAGCCCCAGGCTCATGTGAACACACTGGCCCAGTCTGCTTGTTCTCAAAGCCTCAAGGCATAAAAAGCAGCCCATCTGACGCAGAAGCACTGATATCAAGCAGACGAGAGCCTCCAGCGAGGCCCAAAGAGGCGCAGAGACCAGTAGCGATGCCACTTCCTTGTTTGTTCTCTCTAACTCCACTGCATTCGATTACTAAATCTTAGTCTCAAATAACTCATTCCCCCTAATGTGGTTTCTCCCTGGCCTCTCCTCTTTCTCTCTCTGCCTGTTTTCCTCCCTCGTTCTAATTTTCGCTACAGGCATGATTGCGGTCCCTGTTTGATCTGACAAGAGACCCAGAGAGCAATCACACCCAGAGGTCCGTCACGCTAAGAATCCTCACTGTTCGTCATACCTCACTCCAATCTACATCAACACCCCCCAATCACCACCTCCTTCGACTGCATGGCAACCAGCTCCCATGGCAACCACTCCTACAAGGGTTGTATGGGGTGAGTACCAAAGCCTGATGGAAGGAAGAGGCTATGGGAGAAATGAAGCATGGAAATGATGTGCTACTGCAAACACATTTTGACTAATTGTTGTCTTGACACTACTTCCTGGCACATGGTGGGGAAAATTCACAGTTTAACTACGCATAAGTGTCAGGAGAAGTTTAACATACCTAATGCTAATATTTATACAAAGAATCTCTTTGCCAAATGACTGGGAGTGTTTTTGAAAAATAGCATACACTGGTTTTCATTGGCCGAGAGCAGGGTGTTCAATGGCTGATACAGCATAAAACCAATATGAATATTATAGCAAATGAGACACAAAATTGTGTAAATGATTAGAAAACTTATTAATAAATAAATGAATAAATAAATAATTGTGGAACATTTGCATGGAAATTTCTGTGCTTCTTTTTCTTTCATATTTCAAATATTTCAAAGTGAAACAGGATATTTAAC